AGGACATGGAGACTGGCTGTGCGATTAGTCCGGCCTGTGTTTTGGAAGACACAAATGGCTTAGTATAACCAGACCTCCTCTGGCAATCAACTATAAACTGCCATGTGTGTACAGATCCCCCATTGTCCTGGCTCTTATTTTGTCTGCGGCCTCTTCCCAACACAAGGGCATTTAAAGAATCTGACTACAAAGCCTAATTAGGATTTAAGGCAACAGCGAAAAGTTGACAAAAACAACTTTACATGAATGGGTTATTGTTACAAGAGTAGAGAGTAGAGTGTACAGAGTAGAGCGAGTTTGAGTCTTGGAGCCAGCAGGGAAAATGTTGCTGTGGATTAACCGTCATTAAACAACAAACGATTCTGCAAAATGTTGTATTTCATTCGGTGTTAACCGGTATTACATATCTTACGGTAAATTTTTTTTTCTCTTTACTTGGAAGGCTACAAGATGGACAGGAAAGGGCCCCAGATTGGAGTCAAATATGGGAGTCAGTACATGGGGCTCCAGCTGTATCTCCCCACAGTGGATATTTTACAAGCACTGACCAGGTAAAGTATTCAGTACCACGTTGGTTTTGCTTGTTTCATTAGGCTTCGATATTAAAAACAAACCTTCTCCAAACAACATTATGAAACAGAGAGAAACCATTTTTCGGACTTTGAAACAGTCCTAGCTATGGCAAACAAACTATGGCTAAGGTTAACACTTGGTGAAGCTAAGAGAAAGATCATAGTTACCCTTTATTAAACGCCAAAAACTGCAAGTGAGATGAAAAGTGCAGTCTAACACGTGAAAGTTGGACTTACTACACATCAATTTTCACCTCGTTACATAAAAATCACAGTACCTACGTTACCGCTAAATGTTGGCACTGGCTGTGAGGCACAGAACCCTTCAACACCTATATTTCTTTGGATACTGAGTTGTGTCAAAAATGAACATGTAACACCCATCCTTCAACAGTGTGACTATCACGAGTCCTTGAGAAAAAAAAGTTTAACCCACAGTTGATCCTGTGAAGCTAACCAGCACTATAAGACTGCTGTTATACACGGTAGCTGCCAAACACTGATGAATGCACTGTTTGGTTAAAAAAATGTATGATAGCAAAAGTTTGTATTTCATCCAAACTGGAACTTTGAAAAACCTACCCAAACCAGATTTTTATTTGTATTTTCTGACAAAGAGACCCAATATGAAACACTAGAACCGGTCAGACACAACCAAGAAGCACTGACAGCAGCATGATACTCCCACACAAAACACATTTTTCCCCTGCAGTGATTATGCTGCACGCATGAAGGTAACTCTGCTCAAATCCTCCAGGTTTCAGACATACAGACACTCAGACTCAAGACCCGCAGAAATATGGGATGCTAAATATAACAATTATTATAATTTGGACTGGGTCCGACTTTGGTTCCATATTGAGTCTCAATTACTATGAATGATGGTGACTTTCCATAGATGGACTTAAGGTACTGCAAAAAAGCACTAACAGCAGTAGTTTTAATAGTAGCTCTCTGCCTTATGAAGAGAACTGTGGTTCCAGCTCAATACAAGAGGAAGAAAGAGCTTGAAACTTTTTTAGTTCAGCAAGAACAACCACAACTTTTTAATTTCTTCAAATCAATCTGCAATTAGTTGCAAACATGGGGAAACAGACACAGACACTGAACAGACACTGAAGTCCTTTGGCTTATTTCAATCTGAACCACAGGGACAGGCAGTAATATTCCAGTGCTCCAAGATAGCAATTTACACCTAATATCATTGTCTCTGGAACAACTCAGGTGGAGATGGACGTGGCAACAACAACAAATAACAAGACAATTCTGGCAAACAATTTCTTGTGCATGATCTAACCCCTGTAATCACCATATTCAGTAGTTATGGTTATAATAACTGGTTGTGATCCCTAAGAAATGTCACATAGGTCATCACAACACACTACACACTGGTAGTTATCACAGCTACAGCAACATGCACAACTAATTATCTTGTCAAAAAAAATTATATTGCAGCAACTGCTATTCTAAATATCACTGAATAACCAACTAGTCTGACATGTCAAGCTAATTTGTGCTGCTAGCTTTTTTTACCTGTCAGTGTAAGCAACTTGAACACAGCATTACCATGTGTTCCACTTGTCAAGCTAGATAAACTTCATCTGCACTATGCTTTACTTAAAATTAATATGGTTAGCTCACTGCCTAAAGTGACCTGGCAGGAAGAACTCAAGTTCCAGTCATGAGCATCCAAAAAACCATTTGGAGACACCAATGGCCTGTTCTGTATTGGATATACAATATAGAACCACTATCCGTTCCAAAGCAACATTGAATAGCCAGACAATTGCTTGTTAGAAACCAGTATACTGCCCTAATCTTAATCTAAAAGCACCAGGTACCATTAGAAAGGAATGGTTGTCATCTTTCATTTGAGCCTATTTACATTTGCTTTTGGTTCCCATTGCCTAACCATTTCTTGTCAAGACCATAAACAAGATGTTCTTTTCATCAGAACATGATAATAACCAATCAGTTCAATATACAGTAAAATTGGTGGCCTAAATCTAAATTGTCACCCTTATTGAAGACAGCACCAACGTCCCAAATTCCCACCAGATCACGTTCATTTTAACCCTAGTACAGGATGCAAATAGTGTGTTTGTTGGAGAGTGACTTATCAGTCATATTTTTAAAAAGATATAGAAGTTCAAGCATGAACTGAGCACAGAAATCAAAATTCTCAGTTAGGGGTTTAAGAAATATTGAGAAAATGTGCTCAAGGGATTGAAATGATTGTTTGGTTTCAACCGGCTTGAGTGAACCGCAGCGGCTGGGTGATCACTATGCCAATGTGTTTATAGCATGAATTACATTTGATTGTGTGCTCTTAAATTAAATCACAGACTGGTCCTGGCCTCTGAAGAAACAGATTAACTCTGCCAGATATGTTGTTATGGAAAGTCTATCAAGACAGAATGAACATGAAACACATACTTTCAAATTGCACATAGCTTTGTTAACAAGCACAAGCTTATACAACTTGGTTGTATCATAAGGTTTATAGGAAGGCAGTTAATGACTTACAGTTAGCTTGCCCACAGCAGCGCAGCAGCTCTCAGTGTTCTCTCTGCTCCGTGGACCGGGTATCCAACTCTCCACACAAAGCCTGTGGACAGAGACCAGATCAGTGAAAAAATGTAAAAGATGTCAGTGCAAACAAGCATAAAATAAATGGCCAACTGCACTTTTTTACTGGAAGGATAGTAAGTCATTATCTTTGTTTTTGCAGGTTTCAACAGGTTAAATTTAAGGCTTCTTATGGGACTTTACTGCAGGGAGATTTTAGTTTAATTCAACATTCTATGTATATTTTTTATTTGTAACATTTTGTCACTACTACAGAAACACTATGCAAAAGTAAATAAAGTTGTCTGGCATTGACTGCTGTTAGTTATTAGTCTGATTAATAGTTTAATCATGTTTGTATTGATTACTGGCGCTGGCTAATCAGGCTAATCTTTATCTTATTTTACTCAGTTTGTAATGGCAGCATGGTGTAAATGGTTGCCCTTTGTACCCGTTTTTAAACTTGTTATTAATGGTGTTATTGATAACTCCTGATTAAATGTAGCTTGGAGACCAGACAGACTCCCATTTACGTTATATAAGTTTGAAAGCCATGTAGTGTGTCCAAGGTTTAAAGGCCAAAAACTTCAGATTAGATTAGATTAGACTTTTTTAAGACCCTGTAACACCTTACAATCACAAGTGCACTGGCGGCCTCTGAAGCATCAGTATCGGTGCCGATGCAGTGGTTTATGAGTCAGTCTGCTTCACACACCAACTGATATACGTTTAAAGGATAAAGCTGGTGTTATTCTCTATTTTTCTTACTGTCAACAACAGAAGTTCACTTTATGACTTCCCCCTGAAATCAATGAAATGAGGCGGTAGTAACAGTACCTCTTTTGTCCACAGGGGCCACCAGAATCAACACAAAATGAAAGTTCCTCCTTGGCTGATTTAAGTACAAATTTGTCTATTTTCTGTACTGTTGACCATCATTCTTAACCATTATAACATTTTACTTTCCTGTTTGATTGCCTGGATCTAGGGACATAGCAAAAGCAGTGGGCCAGGCAAAAGAGTTCAGAAAACCAGTTTTGAATTCCACAATTTGAGTAGATAAACTAATTTTTGGTATCTTGCCTTGCAACAAAGACCCCTGCTGGATTCAAACCGAGTGTAGTATGACAACATGGTAAACCTTGGTTGAAAGGGGAATATGAAGTAAGTCTGAAAAATCAAATGGATGTCTTCAATATTAAATGAATCAAAAAATGAATACGTAATAATCATAAAATAAGTCAAAAATTAATTATATAACTATTATATTATATGATTATAACTATTGGTTGTGTACTTGTATGTTTATAATTTAAATTATAGTGTCAAAGTACTAGTACAGGAAAACGTGTTTTTTGAGGCATACCTGTATACATTAGTACTTTCCTTGTTTATATATCGAGTTGTTACTGCCTTTAAATGACCATTTACTTCATTTAGAGTTAATCCATCATTTTTACGCAACTCTCTACCGCTGCAAACAAAATGCATCTGATTATAATTTTCAGTGACATAGGTGAAAACAGGGAGGTCAGAAAACCACTGTGACTCAAATTCCTTTGAGCAATTGACAGGCTGGCCATGCCTGAGCCCCACGGAGCATAGCGCCGCAGAGAGAGTTATGGCGCACATGCAAAAGATTTAAGTTCAATCAAGCATTCAGGGCTGGACACCTGATCTTTCGCTTAAAGCTCCTCCAGAACAGTGGGAGTGTGGTCGGGCCTCACAGCAGGCCACCTACCTCCAGCGATCTGCTAACACAGAGCCTCTGACGAGATGGTATTTATCCAGTTCCGCACAGCTCAGTGGGGACTACTGTGTGTGTGGTAGGTACCAGAGGCCCAGAGTGGATGGCAAAGGGGGGGTTGGTTGGAATGAAAGCTGTGGCAATTTAGCGAAAGGTGCCCAAATATTTCTGTCTTATAGTTTTATAAATCTCCCCAAAAAGCAGTGCTGAATAATACAAAGTTCATGTTCTATCCCACTGTCATGCAAATTATGAGGAAACTCAATTAGGAGTGTTTACATGATCTGAGATAAAGTAGTGAGATAGAATGGATAAACATTGTGAGATTTTATGAGATAATTGCAGAAGCATTTTTTTAAGATTGTTTTCAAGGATTAGTATTATGCAAGTTTTCATTGCTCTTTGGTGTCCTTTTTTTTTTAAACTGAAGACAAAAAAAAACAATGTGCCTGATGCACTGCATTCTCAAGAAAATAAAAAGGCCTTGCTCTTGGAAATTAGTCTAATTTTTTATCTGAAAAGAAAAGAATAATAATCTTGTCAAGCATGTTTTGCGTAATCTGGTTTTAGGGAAAATATTTCTAACTATGTCTTAATAAGATATCACAGCTAATATTGAGCTTGATTTAAACAGTAACAA